GAAAAAGCTTGAAGAAGTGCCAAGACATTGAAAATAATTCAATCTGGACATAGAATGTTGAAGATGGCAGCAAGGCATTAGATTCAATGATTTTGAAAATCTATATATCTGCATCACTCTTATACTTCTAGAAAAATAAAGGGGACAAAACATTAAAAACAATTGGGTCTTAGGTAACACACTTTAAAATACACAGCCTAATCAATGAAGGAAAATAAATGGTTAGAAAGTCTTAGGTTTCACCTAACAAATACAACAAATACATTTTAGGTAGTAACAAACTGGTTATAATTTCATACATAGAGATATACATATAATTGCAAGCTTCTGCATTACTTATAAATTGCAATAACATTCTCTCCATCCGATAAGTATTTTTCAAAAGCACTGAATTCTATTATAGATTATACAACTAAAGAGAAAAATCCACTGAAAATTATCATTTTTTACCAGATTTTATTTATTTTTGCATAGAACTAGAGTATAGGCCAAAGCTGTTGGGGGGGGGGGCAGTGGTAGTGGTGACAGGATTCACAAGAGATAGAGTAGGGTGCACAACAGGAGACAGGTATACTGAAATACACTGTAAGGGGAGCAGCGGGCAAGGCGGAGCAGCCTGCTGTGCCACATATGGGTTAGCTCCCTGGCAGGGGATCCAACTTAGGGCTTGAAATCAGTCTTCAGCACTGAGACTTACTCTTAGGCCACCTGGATGATCCTTATCATTGTTTTTGTTTTTTAACTTGTTCTGCAAGGTCTGCACATACTTCTTCCAATTTTTCTCCTTCTCCCTTGCTGAGTTTTAGCCTCTTTGTTTTCACCTTGGCCTCCAACTTATCAGGCTCTATTCTTTTGAGAGGAAAACAGTATGGACATTCCTCCAAAAAATGACTGCTATACAACCTAGTTATTTCATTCATTTACCAAGAGAACACAGAAACACTAATATGAAGAGATACATACATTGCAACTCAATGTTCAGCACAATTAGAATAGCTAAGAGTTGGAAACGACCTAAGAATCTACACATGATTGTATAAAGATACAGTATATGCACATAATGGAATATCACTCAGCTATAAAAATGTATATGTATATACACACACATATATAAGAAATTCTGCCATTTTCAACAATATGGGAGGACCCATAGGGTATTAAGCTCAGTGAAATAAGTCAAAGGGAAAAAGACAAACCTGTGTGATCTCATTAATGTGTGGTACATAAAGAAATGAAGCAAATTATGGTCCCTCCCTGGTGGTGAAACAGGTCAAGGCACAGTGCTGCTAAGCTGGCTGCAACCACTTCATCGAGAATTCAATCACAGGCCAGGGAGGTGACCCACATGGCGCAGCAGACCTCACCTGTCTCTACTGCTCTCCTCAGCAGTGTACTTCATTAATCTGCCTGTTCTGCTCCCCACTCTGTCTATGGTGAATCCTCTCACCACTCCTGCATCTCTGGCCTGTACCCCACTACATAAATAAATAAATCTTATATAAAGAAAAGAAATGAAGCAAATTAACCAAGCAAGACAAAAATAAACTTTTAGGCCATGAAAATAAGTGGTTACCAAAACATTTTATGAAGAGACCAAACTAAAAAAAAAAAAAAAAATGGTGTCAGAGGAGGTTCCTGGCTTCACTAACAAGAGGAAAATCCGAAAGTTATCAAGAAGAGCAATAAACCAATAAACCAAGAGGGTCCTGAGAGTTGGAGTAAATTAGAACGCCACTTAGAGACCAGCACAGACTCAACTCTGGGGCCTTCCTGGTGGCGTAGCAGGTTCAAGCACAACACTAAGAAGCTAAAGCCACTTCAGCATGAATTCGATCCCCACCCAGGAGGTGACCCACAAGGCGCATCTCTGGCCTGTACCC